TCTAAGTAAAAAAAAAGTGCTGCTTCTGGATTCATCTCTGAGCCTAGATGCTCAGGTTTTGGCGCTGGCCAGGAGTGCCTTGACACTGTTAAAATAGTACGCCAAGTGCACCCATTCCTACAGAGATCTGACTTGACCTGACAGTGACACATGCTTTAGTTACATCCTTGTTAGATTTGTAATGTGCTTTACACTGGGCTTCCTTTGGAGAGTGCTCAGAAACTTCAGCAGGTCCAAAATGCTGCAGCCAGAATGTTAACTGAGGCTGGTTACAGGGATCACATAACCCCCACTGATACAGCAGCTAGATGTGCAATCTAGGGCCCACGTTCTCCAAAACCCAGCAAGCTTATTGTTAAGACAGTTACGAGGCTTTTTTTTTCCTCTTGGATCCTCCCTTCACATTAACAAAATTGGGAAGAAATTAGCAATATCAGCTCCATTGCTGCTATAAATTGCACTTGGTCAGTTTTCTGGGTGTGTTGGGGAGAGAGGAGGCTTGAAATCCTGCAGATTCATAGCATCTTGACATGCCCCTGAATGTTTTGCGTTGCCCACTACTGGCAGTAGATTTTGTGACTATCCAGGGAAGGAGGGTGGATTCTTCAGTGGGGTTAATATCAAATGCTTCTGTTTACCAGAGGAGTAGGCCTCTTTCATAAAAAAATTATTGGAGAACTGCTGGATAGCTCAGTGGTTTAAGCATTTGGTTGGGATTTCAATTCCCCAGTATGCCTCTTTAACCTAGTCATGTCCAGGACCTGGACATGATGATCCATAGGGTCCCTTTCAGCTCCGAAGTTCTAAGGTATTATCATTATCAATCTTAAAACTGCAGGGACCCTACAGATCATCAAGTCTAGGCCCTGTCAAGGAGGCACAGTAGGGAATTAAATTCCCAGCCTTTGGCTCCACAGCCAGATACCTAAATTACTGAACAACTAACAAAGCAATGAAACTTTGTATGCAGCAGCTGAAATCCAGTAGTAAGTCACAACTAGTGTAGGCTCATTCAGTCAGTGAAGATTTGATGATTCAATTCCTCCCTAAGTTCCATTTATTCAATGGGCCTACTCAAAATTTACTACTGGATTTCACCTTTCATTTTATTAGTCAGTATCAGTAAAGCTAATTTAATGTTAATTCAGAAGGATCACTTTCCAATGAAATAGAAGGAAAGGTCTGCCTTAGATAGCAACTGTTCTGTACCATTAAGACATCAACTGAAAGTTGCCTGATTTATTACCTGTTTCACAGCTGTTTTTAAGAACTGCTGTATAGCTCAGTAGTTGGGAGTTCAATGCCCTACCGTACCCCCTTAACAGGGGCAGGACTAGATGATCCATAGGGCCTTACAGCTCTGCATTTCTAAGATCATGTTTGTGACACTACATATATGCACTTTTGCAAACTGCTCAGTTTAAAAAATCTGTTTTGGGGGCAATTCAAAAGGAAAAAAACAGTAAAGCATGTGATGGGAAAATAATTAAAACAAGAATGGAAAACATCTGATATTTCAGATATCATTGGGCTGAAAATTGCACCATCTATCACTACTGTCTGTGGAAATCAAGTCCAACAACATCTAAGAATCACATGTCACCCACTCAGTCTTAACCCCAAACAGTTCAAAATGAAAGTCACGGGTTACATAACATGAAAGGGTAGGATATGTGCTACACAATGTCTTAGCATTCCTGTACATGACAGACATAACGGACAAAATCTAACTGCTAATCTCAAGTACAGCAAACCCATTGAAATAGCTGCGGAATTATAGATCAACAGTTCCATAAATCACTGGTATATTATAGCTGGGGCTAGCAATTTAATCCAAGCCTGTGCATCTGAAATGGTATATGTCTATAATCACTATATGAAGCTGCAAATGTATAACCCAATAAATCGCCCAGCAAATGAATCCACTTGGTCCACTAGGACTGGTCGCAGAGCGAAGGGCATGCTGGAGTTCTTGCAAAGGGGCTGCGCGTAGCAGGAAGCGAGCGCCTGGCCACACGGCTTCCTTCGGTGCCACCTCCAGCACCGGTGGCAAGAGGCTTTGCCACACCCAGCCAGCTGGCGTGGAATCACCAAGCGCCACTGCCACCCAATGGGTTCCTACAGAGGGAGCCTCGTGGCGCAGTGGTTAAACCGCTGTACTGCAGCCAAAACTGTGCTCACGACCTGGGGTTCAATCCCAGGTAGCGGCTCAAGGTTGACTCAGCCTTCTATCCTTCTGAGGTCAGTAAAATGAGTACCGAGCTTGCTGGGGGGGGGGCAATGTGTAGCCTGCATAATTAACTTGTAAACCGCCCAGAGAGTGCTTGAAGCGCTATGGGGCGGTATATAAGCAGCACACTTTGCTTTTGCTTTGCTTTTACAGGGACGGAGCTTGCAATGGCAGTGTCATGGCGCCAAGAGGCTGAGCCTGACTAGTATGCTCCAGCCCCACCGCCACCACCACCTCAGCTGCAGCCAGGGAGTGAGTCCAATGGGCCAGTTACTTCTGGAAGAAAATTGCCAAGAAATCTTCATAGACATTATCTGTTGCATATCAAGTTGTGCCACTCAGAATGCAACAGATAAGAGCTATGGCAATTTCTTAACTTACAGCAATTAATCTCTAAAAGTTCTGCTATTTAACTGTACAACATGATTTCTGCCAATAATACTTGATTTACTCAAATCTGGGAATAACTGAACGAACATTCAGGTGACACCTAAACTTCTTATACATTAGTAAATGCCTGGGAATCATTACATAAACTTGTAGTTTTAAAACTGATAAATCACCTAACAAATAACTCTACTTGCACAGTAATAAGAAAAAAATAAATCTGTATTTAGCAAATATCTAGGATACTCTATTGCCGCCAACAGAACATGTTAATGACATTAACATTTGGTCATGAGTTCATGGAAATGCCTAGCAGTCTTAGTGTGACAGTGCTAGTCCTTTTCTCACAGTTTTATTGTCTAGGTGTGGACATTTATTGCTTCTAGACAAATGACATATACAGCAGCAATTTCAACCTAAACCTTTAATGAATTGAGAACATTATTGTGAAGTTTTCATCACTTCCCAGAGTCAAGTGTGGAATCACTCAATATTTGATAGCCAAATGTTTGTCATTTCTTCTCAGAAGATAAAGTCATCCTTAGCAAAAAGCTACCCTGGATATGAAGGCCATTTTGGCCTTTAATTTAAATAATTTTCCTCACCCTTATATATTGCAGTGCTATGTATAAGAGAAGGTTGGGAAAGTCACCAAGTGAATCAGAGAAGACAAGGTGTGGGAAAACTCATAACCAAGGGATAGGAAAGTCAGCTGTGGGGAGAAACTATGTGGGAGAATGGGGGAAAGGATATACAGTGTGTTTGTATGGTACATGAATGGCTTATATATTACACATATATGAACCGATGGACAAGTATGAGCAAGGGGTGTATGGGTCAAACTATACATGACAGAGAGTGCATCATTAGAAGAGTACAAGGCATCTGATTTTCAACGCATGAGCTTTTCACACCTCTCATGGTTCAGAAATCAGCATGCTTTGTATTGTGATTGGTCTTGAGGACATAAGGTTTCACTTGCAAGTCTGATTTCTCAGACAGAGTTTTTGCTGGAATCTCATCTCTAGAACACTAATCAGGTTTCAGTTTCTAATTATTTGTAACATGGAATTAAGTCCTAAGAGAGAAGTAATAGGTGAACCTTAAAATGGGTAAGGAAGTACAGTATATCTGTGTTGGGTGATCCTCAGAAGGAGGGTTGGTTTTGTTTGTAGGTTGTATAAGAGTGTTTTGTGTCAGGGTTTTTGCTACAAAAACTGGGCAAGATGTTCCTATTGGAGTGAAATAAAATTGGTGCAGTCAATTTTAGAATTCATTTAAAGGGGATCTGGGTAATTTAGTCTGTCTGTGAAATGCATGCTTCGTTCAAGCAGAAAACAGTCAGTTAAAAATGTATTTGCCTTTTAGATTCCACAATTTGCCTTTCTACGAACCTGAGGTCTTGTTGCACTAGTAAATGTTTTCATTACCAACATTTCTTGACAGTCACATTGTGACTTCCCACTAAGTTGTCATTTTTTCCATCATACTCAAAACATACTTTCTTAAAACCTGAAATGTGCTAGAGACCCAGAAAATTTGGGGACTACAACCCAAGCATCTTTGTGTTATGCAAAGATGTAACACTGATAGTTGTAAACAACTTCTTACCTGCTAGTCTACGGCAAGGACAAGTCTGTTCCTAGCAAATAGGAACACTTCTGCTGATTTGAAATATGAGTTGTTCCCTCTCCACTCCTCCTTTAACTTCAAGACAAATGATGCCTCCCAAACAGTTAGATTTGTTAGACTGTGGCCAGTTGTGCTGATGGACAAGATAAAAACTAAAATACAAACTAGAAGGAGATGAAATTTGAAAGGCACAAATGATGATGTTACCATTCAAATGTGTTTCAAAATTTATTTCTTCAATGGCACTTCAAAACACCAATCCTCAGTAGCATAAGGCAAATCAAATCACATTCTGTGCACCTTTTAGATTTCATCCATCCCTTTCTTCATTACACATGAATGTGTGGTCAAGCAGACAAACTATCTGGGTCCTACTGTACTTTTTAAAAGGGAGTTGAGTGTTATCCATGTGTTTGCAAGGCTTTAGAAATGTACACTTTGTACCTGTAAGTAAAAATAAATCCAGAAGTAAATCCCAAAAAAAATTTGAAGGAAAGGAGGCCAATCCTCCACAATTTTACAACTTTCAGGCCTCCAAGTATGCCCTCCACCCATCCTGAATCTCGGCAGTGGGGCTGGGAATGCCTGCCTCCCTTGTGAGGACGGAGGTCCATTTGGCACATCCTCCAGGGTACTCTCTTTTTAATTACTGTATTACCTCACACGGTCGTCCAAGGGTCCGAATTAAACTCTGCCAATAAGCAACAAACCAACCAGAAAACAGAGCCCAAGTCCTTTACGGCGGCGGGAAAGAGGGAAATCCCTCCTCTCGGCAGCGGCGGCGGACGAGAACCTCCGGCCACCAGGAGGAGGCAGCTCCGCCCCGCCAACAAACTTCTCCATTTAGCCCTTTTTTTGTCTCCGGCCGTGGACCGCCGAAGGGGTATGTGTGTGGAAACCCGCTTTACTAGTCGGTCCTGAAGAAAGAAAAACCTACAGAAGTTCTCTCTCTCTCTCTCTCTTTGGTCGCACTTTCGGCTCCTCTTCCCTGGTGCCTACACTGAGCACAACCAGCCCAGGGAGCAAGGAACACGTCTGAAGAGCGCCCGGGGAGCGCCAGGTAATCGCCCTGCAGACTCTGCCCGTCTTTTCTCTCCCGTGCGCCCGCGTGTTTATCCCAAGCCTTGGCCAACCTCGCCTGCCTCCCGCCTTATCGGGGAACCACACGGCATCCCCCCCCTCCCCGGCAGCGTGTCTCTCCTTTCAGAAGCCTTTGTCCCTCCGGTCAGTTTTTCCTCGTTTTACGTCCTTTAAAAAAAACCCCTCGTTATTTTCCCTTTCGTCTTCTACTCTCTGAGGTACCTCGCGCACGTGTACAGGAGAGATACCGTAACTGCCCAGAGCAGGAAGCCGCCCCGTCCCGGTTTCTGGAGCCGGCCCAACGAGTTTTGAGAATTAAATGAAAAAGAGAGAGCGCGCGCACCGAGGAAAAGGGCGCCCAATTGCACCCAAACGGGACGCCCCCAACTCCGCCTCCTTGCCGCCTTTTGAAACAGCCGCTCTTTGCGAGCTCGGTTGTGGGTCTTCCGTGTTGTGTGGAGGTGTGTCCACATCCTGTCACGGCGGCGCTCTCGAGCCCGTCTTCCGGCGAGCTGCAAGACGGAGAGTTCAGATGAAGTCGGGAGGGACCCGCGGGGTGTTGAGTTGCAGGTTCCCTTCAGCCCTGGCTCCCCAGCCAGCAGGGGAGGGAATAATGGGAGTTAGTTGCAGCCCAAGAACATCTGTTTTCGTCCCTGATTTAGGGGGCTCCCCTGTTGAATTCCTGCCTGCTGCGAAACTCTGAAAGGCGCAAAAGCGAAAAGAGGCGTCTTGTGCCCTGAGGGATGGCCTCGTGACCTGAGATCTCATCTCCGAGATCTGTCCAAGCTTTTATAATGTACAAGAAGGCACAGGACTTGATTTGTATAATAAGTGTTGGGAAGTTGGTTGTCCTGAGTAAATGATGTATTTAAACTCCCCCAGGAGTAGTTGAAGTCTGTTGCTTCTTACGGAAATACAATATGGTTTGCAATTTTACTCTAAGGAAAACTTTATAGTCACTGCCGGTGATTGTGGATTCCCCTGTGTGTGACTGAACATCAGTAAATTTTGGTCTCTGCAATCAAACTCCGTTTAAAGGATCTTGCTGAGGGATATATTTTCTTCAGTTGAGCTGTTGCTGCATGATTCATACAGATGGGCTGGAGCATGTTGCAGACCGTAGAGAATTCAGCCTTGAACATTCCTAATTCCGAGATCCAAAAACGGTTTTGGTTATCAATCTGTGTATCAATTATGGCAATTACATTGTTGACCATAATCTTGGTACTGGAATGGGCTGAAGATGTATATTAGGCAATGTCTCTGAAGTGTTTGAAATGTGAGAGGCCATGTACAGTGTGTGTGTTATGTGCCATCATGTCACACCTGTCTTATAGGTATCCTACAAGGATTTTCAATGTTAGTGAGATATTTATGGAGTGGTTTTACTAGAGCCATACACAGCCCAGTGAGATTCCATAGCCAAACAAACATTTGAACACAGATCTCCATCCTAGTCCATCACTCTTAATCAACTACCCTTCACTGAGAAACCTCGGATCATTATGTGAGAGTGCTGACTGAAACTGAACTGAAAGGATACCTTTTTGTCAATTTATGGCTAAGGAGAGCTTTGTGTTTAGTAATTTACAGTTATATTTAAGAATCAGAGTTTCGAATTCAGTACTTCCTGGCCTATGACCTTTTGTTTTTGTAAGCGGGAAGTGACTTATAGCAGCTTTTCTTTGGCTTGCAAAGTGAGTGAAGCAGGGTGAATTTGATTTAAATCAAATTGATTTGAATCACGATTTTAGTCACATTTTAAAAATTTTAATAGATTTTTAATGGTTTAAATAAAAATTACATTTAATTGTGAATTAAATTAATTTGATTTTTAAAAATCATTGATTTTTATACACCATGAAGGATTGGTTTTATATGTGCCATCTCACCAGTAAGCTTCTATGGGTGAGCAGGGATTCGAACCCTGAGTTGCAGTCCATTACAGTGGTGCCTCGCTTGACGAGGCTAATTTGTTCCATTCAAATCGCTATTAAGCGAAATCCTTGTCAAGCGAAACGACAAAGCCCACTGAAATACAGTGGGGTCTCTACTTAAGAACGTTCCTACTTAAGAACAATCCAACTTAAGAACAGCTCCATTTGCTAAATTTTGCTT